AACCTTTTTTTTTTTTTTAATAGTTTCCCTAAGGTATTTGTCATACAAGCGAGAACTCCTGCTTCAAGCCATTCCTTCAGCCCTTTGTATAAAGCCCTTGTATATGAAGCACTTTAAAACATAAATCATGTCTTGTGGGTATTCAGACTTCTCCCTGTTCTCTTCATCAGTATTCACCGGAAGGCCAGGACTTCCTCTCTTACACAGTACAGGATCTCTGTTTCCACTGAAATGCTTGCCTCCTTTTTAAGTGATTTCTGCTGGAATAGCCTGTCATAGCAGAATGGGACTCCCTTTTGTTGGGAATCTAAAAGGAACAAAACACCAAGAACAAATATGCAGGGAAATTTTATTTACAACAAATAAGGAAGTGGGAAGCACTTCCAAAGTCACAGGTCCCCAAGCTAGGCAAACTGTCACTTATTAGGACAGGGGAGACATATGTAGGAGTGTAGAGGAGAAAAATTAGTAGAGTCACCGTAGCTAGAGTAAACACAAAATGAAGTAGTTGTGTGTTAGAAGTACTTAGACCTTGAAGAAATCATTGTAGGAACAGTGATTGTTTTCTGTGTCTTACAGAATTGTTTTTCTGAGGGAGCTTTACAGCCCTCATGACTTTGATTACAAGACAGTCTGGCAAACATGGAGTGTCTTGTGTTAGTGAGTACTGCAAACAGTGTACAGGAAGGACTAAGATTGCAAGGGTGAGGAATTCCTTCAAGGAACTCAGAGATCAGATTTTGGTTTTGGTATAAGGAACTTGTTTTATTCTAAAAATAACGTTTGTTTGACAATCAATTAATACCCTTCTGCACAGCTGTTCCAGGTTCAGCCCGTCAGAGGCTGGACCTCTTGGGTGCCTGCAAGGCTGTAGCTCATCCTGCAGTCACCCTCTTTCTTTGATCATCCTGGTGACTGAGATATAAGCACAAGGAGCAGAGCTGTCAGCATGTAGGTACGATAGGAGTATGCTGCAGAAATGAGGCTCAGGCTCTTCCCTGGCTAAAGATTTGGTCGTGGATGAATGGAAGAGTTGCACAGGCCAGTAAGATAACTCAATGAGTAAAGGCACTTAGCGTGAAAGCCTGGAGACTTGCATTCAATCTCCAGAACCCATATGAAGATGGAACGAAGGAAGTGGCTCCACAAAGTTATCTTGTGGCCTCACACATATTGTGGACATGCCCACAATAATAATATTTACTACTACTACTACTAATAATAATAATGAAATTTATTTGTGGTGTTCATACTTATTTCATTAGAGTGTTATCTAAGACAGATATTTATTTACAACTTGAAGACCCCAAACAAAGACAAGGCACAGTGGTGACTACCTATAGTCCTAGCATTTGAAAACTAAAGGCAGGAGGATTGCCATGAGTTTGAAGCTAACCTAGGTTATGAAGTAAGTTGTTCCAGGCCACCTGAGTTACATAGCAAGACACTGTCTCCAAACAAATAAACATGTTGCCATGTTTTTATAAATCTGAAAGTCTCTTTCATTTCTGTCTTGCGATGTGAAGAAACAATGTTAACTACCCAATTAGATAGTTCATATTCTGGATTTGTCAGCCTCCGATCACCTTTCCTTTTATGAGTTTCATTTTATTATGTTTTATCTTCATGTATGTCTATGTACCATACATGTGTGTGCCCTGGTTCCCTCGGAGCCCATAAGAGGTCATCAGATTATTAACTCTGGCATGAGGTGCAGCAAAAGTTCCAGTCTCTTTGAATCTAAGAGATATCATAATGCATTGCCAGAGAACAAAAAGTTCCCTACCACAGACTTGTTACTGACTTGAAATTCAAAACAAGAAAAATATTTTCTTTTTTTATTAACCTTTCCAAATTCTATTCTCAGGGTTATTCAGCTTAATTTTCTGCAAAGAATAAATTAGGTGTAAGAAAAAGCTGAAAAAGAGCTACAGTGTCCAAGGGCCTTGGGACATAAAAATATTAGAGATCTAGATTTTATCAGATCCATAAACAAAAGAATTTTAAGAGGCAGTCATGATATAAAATAGCTCTTGTAACTTCTGCAAGTGTCACCTTCTTCAGAAGTTGCTTCCATTCAGTCTGCTTCATTCTTGGAAGCCTCATCAAAATTCTCCACCAGATCTGGAACTTCATCATCATCATCCTCTCCAGTAGCAAGTGGTGCTTTTCCATTCACAGATTGTTTGGGCAGAGCTTCAGCCAGTCTCCTTAAACTAGTCAGACTGTCTCCACCAAGCTGGTTGAGGATGGTGAGAAGCATTTGTCTCAACTGCTTTGTCTCAGCGTGGCCTGTAATGGTGAAGGTGTTTGCTGCCAGAGACGCCTAAACTTCAGGGTTGTTAAAATGGATCACTGTTCTTGGTTTGAAAACATGTTCACCTTTTCAATATCAGAGATACTGTTTACCCCTAACTTCTTTAAGGAGAACTGGAGATTGTTTTTTTTTTTTTTTATCGTCTGTCATGCTGTTCTGTGAAATATCTCCTTTCTTCAAGCAGTTCCTTTCCCACCAATGGGCACTTGTGCCTGCAGTTTGGTGAATTTTTGCTAGTTCACAATCATTCCTTTCATCTTGTTGGAGTGGAAATGGGGCCTGCATGGGGTACAACAGTTTGCACTCGGGGTCTCTGGCAGACCAGCTGAGATAAGGCACACACATTCAGGGATATACGAGGCTAGAGGGAGGCTATAAGTAACGCCAGAAAAATGTTTTAAGTGACTTCTCCTAGCAGTAATGTATGAACATAGAACAACTGTCAGTTATTCACAATCTGCACAAATCACTGTTATATCATCCTTTGATGTATGTTGATATGTCTATGTTCTCTTCCATCTATATCTGATATCTATGTATTAACCTAATCTATCTAAAGATAATTTTTAAGCCAGTCTGGCTTTGAAGTCTTCACTCTCCTGCTTCAGTCTTTGGAAGAATGGGGTTATAGGAATGTGACCTGTTCTAAAGTTAGTATGTCTCTCTGGTGAAAAATCACTTCACACACTTAGGTTAATAAAGGAGAGAGCTCTTTTTTTTATTATTTTTTATTTATTTAATGTATTCACCATTGCTCTCTTCAGACACACCAGAAGAGGGCATCAGATCCCATTAAAGATGATTGTGAGCCACCATGTGGTTGCTGGGACTTGAACTCAGGACCTCTGGAAGAGCAGTCAGTGCTCTTAACCGCTGAGACATCTCTCCAGCCCAAGAGGGCTCTTTAACAACACCATGGATCTGACTCTGGATAATGTTCAAAGAGGGGCCAGCTGTAATCAGAATTTTACTAACTTATATTCATTTTCGGCTTATACATTCCACATATGTAAATTCTGAAATCTCTTTCAGGTCCCAGATCCAGGTTACTCTTGGAACAATTTTAAGAGACATAGGAGACTGAAAGTCTGGTTACTTGGGCAGATACAAGATTTACACAGCAAGGATAGTGTCAGAATTACTTCTAAGTATATACAGCAGTGTTGTTCTTTTCAAAGAGTTGTTATCCAGGGTCATCTTCCCTACCTACCGGCAGAATTATGCTTTTCCTGACGAAGGCACAGGGGATTTAATGTAAGACTAAGACTTAATAACAGTTGTGACTTGGGGAGCAGCCATTGAGCCCCTTAGAGGCATGTTTTGTTTTTTTTTAATAAGGGGGATAGGCTTAATGGCTGGTTGTATGTTAGGGTTGTCTCCTTTTGTTGTGGGAATGGAGTCTAATTGGAGGGCAATCTTAGTGCACAAACTTTAACAGAAACTTTCTCAGTAACCCAAAACTTCAATGTTGGCACAAAAATGTCTTTCCTAGAGTTTGTAATAAGCCTGGTGATTATATATTTATCTTCCAGTCATATGGGAGGCAAGCGTCCTAGTGAATCCTTTGTAGCATCAATATTTCTCAAGTTACTCTTGCATCAACCCCTCACCTGCCTCATATATTTCCAATTCAATGAGAAGCAGGGGAACTTGGGAACACACACATACATGGCTTTGTCTTGGTTTATCAGGTGCGAACGATCAATTAATTAAGTATAGCCCAAATGGGGCCAAGCCAGGCAACCTGAGCTCTATCTTTCGAAGGAGAGAACCAACTTTTATTCAGGTGCTGGACCAAGCCTCCAACCCTCCCCTGCCAGGCAAACGCTCTATCATTGAACTACTTTCAAAGCCCAACAAGTAAATCCGATAAATTGTTTACTTGATACAGTGTCTTGCTATGTAGGTTGACCTTGAATTCTTCAAAATCCTCCAGTCTCCGCCTCTTCACTGCTGAAATCACAGGCTTGAGTTACTGGACAGGCCATCTTCTCATTTTTCTCTTTTCCTCCCCGCCCCCGGCGTGTGTGTGTGTGTGTGTGTGTGTGTGTGTGTGTGTATGTGTGTGTGTGTGCGTGCGCGCGCGCGCATTCTCCTGCCAGGAGAGAATAAATATTAAGGAAATTCTCTATGTCGGTCCTTGGAAATTAAACTTAGGTCCTCATACTTGGCGACCAGTGCCTTAATCTGCTGAGCCACCTCCCGAATCCCCATTCTCTATCTTTAAACGCTGCTCATTAAGATGAAATATCCCTATAGGCTCTGTGTAATTGATTCGACCACTGACACCATATAAGCCAGCCAAAACCGTGCGAAAAGATTCCTGGGCAGCCATTCTGCACAGGCGGGTCTCGTTAACATTAGCGGGTCCCTTTCATTATCCAAACAACAGGTCTCCGCAGGCAGCCGGTCTCCCAGCGTCGGGGAGGTTACTCGCTAGGACCGCCCCTCGCATTCTTCCCCCCCCCCACCGGGGGGGACCCCTTCCGGTCTTCACCGAGGCAGCGGTCTTCCTCAGGGAGCCGTCCCGCCCATCCACTTCCCGTGAGCTCCCAGTGCGGGCGAGCGCGCCTTTGTGTGATTGGCCGCTCTGTTTGTCAATCCAGGGCCCGGCACCCACAATTGGCTGGCTTCCCTCACGGTCGCGTCACGCCGCTGAAGAGGACTAGGGCGGAGCGGCAGGCGCGCGGAGCTGTCTCGCACTGCGTCGCCGGCGGTTTTTCGCGTTGGTTTGCACAGCGTCTGTGATGGCGGCGGCGGCGGCGGCGGCTGAGGAGAGCATGAGTGTGGCCGCGCTAGTTACGTCAGTTCCCAACAGCATTGGCCGGTCTCCCGAGGCCGAAGGAGTTGGAACAGCGGGCGAAGAGAAGGACGCAGCCACCAAAGGAACGGTGGCCGTTGGGGACAGCGAGGAGGATGGGGAGGAGGACGTTTTCGAGGTGGAGAGGATCCTGGACATGAAGTGCGAGGGAGTATGTGGGGGCTGCGCGACGAGGACGCGGCCGAAGGGCCGGGGCGGGGGCGGTGGGGGGGAGAATCCGAGTGGGACGCCGAACAGTCTGGGAGGACAGTGCCGGTCCGTAAGCGCAGACTGACATCCTGGAAAGGATCCTGGCCACTGTCTGTGGAGGATGGATGCTTAGGGAAGTTTTAAGTGTTGTTTTGGCTGAAGAGACGAAGCAGTGACTTGGAATGTTGAATCGTGGGATGCAAGGCAGCTGGTGGGGGACTTCTGTGGACTTCTGCATTCGGGTATAGGGCTATTGCTTTCCGTTAGGAAGGACTGGAGAAAATCACGAGTCGTCATAGTCCATTCTCCACACCGTTGTCCCAATGTTTTCTAAAAGTAGAAAATGCTCCTTGGCTTAAATTCGTCTTCACAATTAAACCCCAGTCACACCGAGTGCTCGGGACGGTAAAGGTTTCCCAACCCAAAGTGTCCCTTTCTTTTCTCCGCGTTTTATGATTGTAACGCAGAGATTTAGAGTAAGCTTGAAAGGAAAAGCTTCGCACTTCATGCTTCAGCACTTAACATCCTCCTTGCTGCAAGTGTCGTACCCGGGAGAAATTCTTACTCTTGAGGGGGGTCCATCTGTTTGTGATACCTTTTCCCTCTCTCTTCTCTTACACGAGCCCTGCAGAGAAAAGTGCTTTCTCATTTCTGTCCTTAACGCTCTGTGGAGACCTCTATTAAAGGCATTGTCTTTTATCTCTACATTTGTCTTTTCTGCTCTAGATAGTAGGCTCTTTTTTTAATCAGGAGATGTGGTTTATATTAATGCTTGAATCACTGACACTTAGACCAGTAACAGCATGGGCAGATTTGTTGTTACCTGATGCTGAGGGCTGGACCCAGGGTATCATGCGTGCTAGGCAAGAGCTTTACTGCAGGCTCTATCCCCCAGCCCTGGGATTATTAAATGAGTAAATGAAATGTGAGTTTGGAGAAAGGAGAAGGTAAGGACTGTAGATAGGTATCATGCCTATAGGATGGTTGGTTTCTGTTGTATCTTCTGTCATTTGTTATCTGGCATATGCCAACTTTCATCTGTTAATTTTTAATCCATTGACCAACTTTTTTTTAATGGACGGCTGTTGCCATGTTGACTTGATGGTAGAGATTTCTTTAAAGTGGTGCTTTTCTCTAAGAACGCCTGTTTTGTTTTGTTTTTGAGACAGGGTTTCTCTGTGTAGACCAGGCTGGCTTTAAAACTTCAGAAATCTGTCTGCATCTGCTTCCTGGATACTGGGATTAAAGGCTAGTGCCACCACCTCCTGGCCTGATGGTAGAGATTTTTTTTTTCTTTTTAAAGAAAAACTTCTAGCCTATATTGTTATTTTATGTGTATGGTTGTTGAGCCTGTATGTATGTCTGCACCACATTCATGCCTAGAGAAGAGAGCATTTGTTCTCCTGGAACTGAAATTACAGATAGTTGTGAGCTGCCGCATGGGTGCTGGGAATGGATCCTAAATCCTCTGGAAGAGCAACCAGTGCTCTTAACCACAGAGACAATGGCTCCAGGCTCTCCTCTGCATACCCCACTTGGTCACCCCCTGCTTTTTGAGGTAGGATCTCTAAAGTCAAGGCTGACTTAGAGCCTGAGACCTTCCTACAGTTACTGACACTGAAAAAATTTCATGTCAAGGGAAGAGTTAAATAATTGAAATTCACTGTCATTATTATGGAGCTAGAGAGGTAGGGCCAGAATTCAAATCCCCAGAGTCCATGTAAAGCTGGATGCCAGTCTGTAAACCTGGTGTTCCTATCGGAAGACGGGAAATTTACCTGCTGTACTATCCTGCAGTGCCAGAGACCTGTCTCAAGGTGAAACGGAAGTTGAAGACTGAGTTTGTCCTCTAAGGTCTACCAGCAGCTGTTGCACACCTATATCCACACAAGCCTGTACTTGTGAATGGCTAGAAGTGGATCCTGGGAACCAAACTAGGGTCTTCTGTAAGAGCAATAAGCAGCTTTAATGATTGCTCCAGCTTCTGACTTCCTTTTCTCCTTCCAGACCCTCCTGTATACCTCTCCTTGCTGTCTTCATCTAAAAATAATAATTAAAAAAAAAGCCAAGCTTGGTGCAGTGGCACACACTAATACCATCACTCAGAAGACAGGGCAGGCAGATAGATCTCTCCTGTGAGTTTCTGCTGAGCTACTGATTACCTCTGTGATTTTTGACTAATTACTTATTCTATCTACAGTTTTCAGATGCAACTATAGAATAATAGTATCTACTTCATAGGCTATTGTAAAGATTAACTAAGCTATTGAAAGTAGATATTTAGATAATGTATGGCATTTTGAACCATTATGAAGCATTGTTTGAACCATATGCCTACTTTATATGTGCATGTGTATTGTTTGCCTTTAGATTTTTTTTTTTTTTTTTTTTTTTTTAGGTTTTTCGAGACAGGGTTTCTCTGTGTAGCCCTGGCTGTCCTGGAACTCACTCTGTAGACCAGGCTGGCCTCGAACTCAGAAATCCACCTGCCTCTGCCTCCCAAGTGCTGGGATTAAAGGCATGCACCACCACTGCCCGGCGCGTTTAGATTTTTATTTTATGTGCATGTGCACCACATTTGTGCCTTGGGCTTAGAGAGGTCAGGTCTCCTAGGACTGGAAGTGCAGGCAATGTGAGCCTCCATAAAGGTACTGGGAATTAAACCCAGGTCCAGGTCCTCTTCAAGAGCAGTAAGTACATGTGTGTGTGTGGTTTTTAGTTTTTTGGGGGTTTTGTTTGTTTTTTGAGAGAATTCTTCCAGTGTAGCCCAGGATTGCCTGAAATTTTCTGAAGCATAGGCTTGCCTTAAACTCTAAACTGTTTTCTCTGCTTTTTCCTCAAAGGACTGTAGGTGTGTACCACCATACCCAGCAGCACACTTGATTTTATTTTTAAAGATCTATTATTTATTTGTATGTGTTTGGGGCTTTGGAGACCAGAAGAGGTGGATCTCCCCTGAAGCTGCAGCTGGTGGTGAGCTGCCTGTTGGTGCTGGCATCCAAAAGGGCTCTTAACTGTTAAGCTATGTATGTCTCCTGCCTCCAGCTGCCATTTTGTCAGTCCTCTCCTTCAGTGTGGTATCTGGAGCTCTTAACTCAGGTTGTCAGGTTTATGCCAGAAGCACCTTTTCCTGCTAAACCTCTTTTTAAATTTCACCTCTGCTTGAGAATAATAGTCAGAGAAGTACCAGTGTACCACTGCTTACTTGCTTGCTTTATTTATTTATTTATTTAAATCTAAACAAGCTAGGTGGTACTGGTGCACACTTTTAATCCCAGCACTGAGGCATGTTGCTACACAGAGAATAACCCTGTCTCAAAAAAAAAAAAAAAAAAAGCATAGAAAAAAATTTAAACAATGTTGCTTATAAGAAAGAATAATCACCTTTTACTAAAAATCATTGAGTACCTTGCCAGTTTTTTCTTCCTATTTTAAGGGTACAGATTGCTTTATAATCAGAAAAAGACATCAGTCTTGGTTTTTTTTTGTGGCAGAGGGTTTTTTTTAAAGACAAGGTTTCTCTGTGTAGCCCTGGTTATCCTTAAAGATCCACCTGCCTCTGCCCTGCTCCCCTTCAAGTGCCCCAGCTGCCTGACAAGCCTTTGGTTGTTTTTTTTTTTTTTTTTTTTTTTTCCTTCCTGTGTAATCCTGGTTGTCCTGGAACTAGCTCTATAGACCAGGCTGGCCTTGAACTCACAGAAATCTATCAGCTTCTTAGCCCCACCCCATCCCCAAGTCTTTTAAAAACAAAACAGGCCAATGATAACTTGCCCCACTCCATGCCACGAGATGAATATGCATGCTTTCGGTTTGGTGTTAATTTTCATTTTGATGCAATTTTCAAGTTCTCTTGCTCTTCACAGCTGAATGGGTTTAAAATTTTAATCAGTAATATGTCTGTTTTTGATTTATGCTATAGGGTAAGAATCTTTATAAAGTTCGATGGAAAGGATATACGTCTGATGATGATACCTGGGAGCCTGAGGTTCATCTGGAGGACTGTAAAGAAGTTCTTCTTGAATTTAGGAAGAAAGTTGCTGAGACCAAAGCTAAAGCAGTCAGGAAAGATATTCAGGTATCAAGTTTTATCTCATTCTTTTTTGGTTTGATATTCATAATTTTATTTATGCAAAGTACGTGTAGTAAACAATTTATGAAAAATACAGTATCCAGTATTTCTTTTATGAATTCCATTTTGCTGGTTTGTCCTCACAGACTGCTTCTGGTGATTTTGTTCCAACTCCTCTTTTCCAACCTGTGGTTCTATTTGACAGTCAAGTATAGTTGGTATGTTGTTAGTCAGCTTACGCTGTGATGAAATACCTAATGTAATTTAAGGATAAGTTTTAATTTGTCTTATAGTTCTGAGAGGTTAGTCTGCCTCTGGATGCCTCTGATGGGAGTGCACCAGGGTGCTGTAAACTCCTTGTTTTCACAAGCCAGGAAGCACAAAAGAAACCAGGGTCCCGATACTCTTTGAAGTCATCACAAATGAACTAAGAATTTCTTATTAAACTTCACCTCCCCAAGATTTCACCACCAAGCCAAGGTGGGAGGCAGAGACAGGCAGATTTCTCTGAGTTTGAAGCCAGTCTGGTCTACTGAGCTAGTTCTAGGACAGCTAAGGGTAACACAGAAACCCTGTCTTAGAAAACAAAAAAGATTCCTCCTCCCTCTCCCCTTTCTTCTCCTATTTGCTAGTGCCTCCCTAGGGACCAATCCTTTAACACATGAACCTTTGGAGGACACTGAGCATTCAAATGACAGCAGACATGAATGTTGGCTAATAAGTTGGGATATGTTTGTAATCCCAGTACTCAGGACAATTAGGCAGAAAGGATTACTGAGAATGGAGGTCTGCTAGGGCTGCTTAATGTTACCCTATCTCAAGGACAAAGAGTAGGGGTGTGTGTACTCAGTGATACAGCACCTGCCTAGCAGGTGCAAAGCCCTGGATTCAAGCTCCAGTGCCATGCTGAGGAGCAGGGATGATAAACATAAAAGTGAAGGAACACGCAGCAGACATCATAATTTCATATTTTCCAGTGATGTGAGCAACTATTCTTTATATGTGGAGATTATTGCCATAATTATTTATTTTATTCTAGTTCACAGTATTGTTAGATTATAACACATAGATTCATGTTTAATTTGTGTTATTAACATGTCTTCATGAAGCCTTTCTTCTAGTTAAATAATTCTTTCAGACTAGCTTGGAACTCAGAGATAATCTGCCTCAGCCTCTTGAATGCTCTGGGATTAAAGGTCTTCACTACTATACATGGCTTTGGTTTTGAAACAGAGTTTTTACTCTGTCTCTCGTTAGTCTGGAACCATGTAGATCAAGCTAGCCTTGAACTTATGATTCTCCTGCCTTTGTCTCCTGAGTGTTGGAATTACAGGTAGCATACCTAGTGTATTAGTCAGAGTTTAACTGCTGTGAACAGACACCATGACCAAGTCTTACAAAGGACAACATTTAATTGTGGCTGGCTTACAGGTTGAGAGGTTCAGTCCATTATCATCAAGGCAGGAGCATGGAAGCTTATAGGCAGGCATGATGCAAGCACAGTTGAGAGTTCTACATCTTCATCTCAAGGCTGCTATGAGGAGACTCACTTCCAGGCATCTAGTATGAGGGTCGTAAGGCCCACAGTGACTGTGAACAAGAACATACCTCCAATAGTGCCACTCCCTGGGCTAGGCATATTCAAACCACCACACCTTGCAAAATTAAATAGTTTATAATCCCCCCTTCCTCATTTTGTTATGGTTTTTGGCAATGTTGTATATTAAGCTGACATTTTACCACAGAGCCAAACCTTCACGTCCCAATCACTCCAGGTTGTGGCAGATGTGTATGGGCATCCGTTGTGTTCTTGTCATTGCTTTATTATGTAAGGGTTCACAAAGGTTCAAAAGATTTTTCATAGCTGGACAGTGGTGATGTATGTATGCATTTAATCCCAGCTCTTGGGAGGCAGAGGCAGGCAGATTTCTGAGTTTAAGACCAACCTGGTCTACAGAGTGAGTTCCAGGACAGCCAGGGCTACACAGATTAAACCCTGTCTCAAAAAACCAAAAAAAAAAAAAAAATTTTTTTTTTCATTTGAATTACTCACAAAAGCCACCACATTCCCTTACCTTTTCAATTTCGGTGATGCTATAGGAAAACATTTTTCCACCCTTTCTGTTAATTTGCTTGCTATAAGACAGTCTTGGAAAATGAGTAATAAAATTAGTTTGTTCAAGTTTTTTGTTGTTGTTTATACAAATAACTTAATTTTTCTGAGACTGGATTTCTGTGTAGCCCTGGCTGTCCTGGAACTTGCTTTGTAGATCAAGCTGGCCTTGAACTCAGAGAACCATTGTCTCTGCTTCTAAGTGCTGGGATTAAGGGCATGCAAAAGGCATGCACCATTATACCTGGTGAAATATCTTATTCTTGAGCTTTTTAGAGTAGGAAAACATTTCAGTAGGAAGTATTTAAGATGATATAATACAAATCAGCCAAATAGGTAAGATTTCTATGTAGTTAGTGTGCTTGTTTCACTTAAATAGAACAAGTTTAAGAACATTCTAGAAGGGCTGATAAGACAGCTGATCAGATAAGGGTGCTTGCTGTTATACCTGATGACCTGGGTTTAATTCTCAGACATCATTACTTGGTGAAAGGAACACAATTCCTCAATTGGTCCTCTGACCTCTACATGCAGGCTTACACATAAAAAAATAATTTAAAAATTCAATTATAGCCTATTTATACATGAGACTGTTACTTTTTAACTCAGTTTGATGTTTCTGTTTGATACCACTGGAAGCACTGACATTTTTCTTCTTTATGTCTCCTTTTTAAATTGACATTCCTCACCTCTGAGTCTTATTTGCTAGGTCAGAAATATAAGTAATACACATGTTAAATTTAGGTAATTTAAATAAGTCAATTTTGCTAAAAATGTTTTGATTAGATTTTATTAGTACTGCCTCTGAAAACTTTTGAACTTATGTTAGTGTTTTAACTTTTTGTATTTTATAGAGACTATCTTTAAATAATGACATATTTGAGGCAGACAGTGATAGTGACCAGCAAAGTGACACAAAAGAAGATACTTCACCAAAGAAGAAAAAGAAAAAAATAAAGTGCAAAGAAGAGAAAAATCCAGATGATCTGAGGAAAAAAAGGACAAAAATGGGAAAGCTGAAAGATAAGTTCAAGTCAGAGCTGGAGAGCGCCTCTGACGTTGTAGGTTTTGATGTAAAGACAAAAAAAAGAATTTGGGAAGTCAAGGAAGAATTAAAGGACTCCAAAAAGCCCAAAAAGGATGAAATAAAGGAAGCCAAGGAATTAAAGAAAGCTAAAAGGGCTGAAATAAAAGATTTAAAGATTAAAATAAAAGAAGATGTCAAAGACAACCGAAAAACAAAGAAGGAAAGATATATAGAATCTCCACTGGAGTCTGAATCACCTAGTGATTCCTTCATTCTAGAAGATGACAGTGAAGACTTTTCTGACAACAAAGAAGAAAATCAGAATGTAAGAACTTTAAGAGATAAGACAACACAGGATACAGTGCAAGAAGGAATTTTTGAGAAACATCTGGATGACCTTATAAGTATTGAAGAGGATGCTGGTACCCGAGTTAGAAGGAAGAAGAAAAAGCCAAGAAAGTTTGAGGAACCAAAAGAGATCAAGAAGTTTGAAAACACGAATACCTTTTTAGAAAGGAAAACAATACCCAAAAAGCAAAGAAATCAAGACAAAGGCAGAAGTAACCTAGAATTAAATAAGTTACCATCACCTGTGTTTGCCCAAACCCTTAAAAGTTCCAGACTGAGTGGGGAAGAGAAGGGCCTAAAGTCCTCTGACTTGGCAGAAGAGGTAAGGTTGGTAGAGAACGTGTAGAGTACAGAAATGGTTGGTACAGATCATTACTGAGTATTGTATGGTCAGGAACTTTCACAAGGAATGACAAAGGAAACAGTCAAACTAGAATAAAGTGTAACTCAGGTAGTTATTAAATATGGTGGCACTGAGAGCAGCTGCATGTGCTCAGATATTAAGCACTGGAACCCCAAGTTTACCTTTTAGTTTGTGCTTTAGTTTCTTTTGCCAAACAAGACAAATCCCTGAGAGTTAATTTAGTTTAAAAAAAAAAAAAGTCAGAATTTTTGTAGATTTGTGCAACATTTTATAGTCAGGCCTATCAGCTTCATCAACTTACTAAATTTCATTTAGTGTGTGTATGTTCTTTATTTTAAAAATACTGAGAATTTGATACAATGCATCTTGATCTTATTTCCCTTTACTCTTTCCCTAACTTCTTCCAGATCCACTTTTTCCTCTCCTTCCACCCAGCTTGTGGTCATCTTTTTCTTAAGCTTAATCATGTCCAATTTGTACTGTCTATATACTGAATGTGGGGCCATCTACAGGAACGTAGTAGATTTACCGGGAGCCACACACACTGTTAAAGAAAACCTTCTCCTAGAAACCATCCAATAATAAGTTCCATAGCTCCTCAGTTAGGGGTGGAATTTCATGGCTCCTTTCCCCTTTCGTGTTAAAATGTTGACTAGCTTGATCCTTCATACTTTTTCCCTGCCCCTTTCTAACAAAGTGTCTTACACTATAGCCCAGGCTACCCTTGAGCTGATCCTCTGTCTCCTTCCTCCTGGGCGTTGGGAATTGGGGTTACATTTGGCTTTTACCCTTTTTTTTTGGTAAGATTTTTTTTTTTGGTAAAATTTATTTGTATGGATTGGCAGTTGTAGTACCTGGTGGTGATACCCACCTTTAAGGAGGCAGAGGTAAGTGTATCTCTGAGTTCAAGGCTAGTCTGGTCTACAGAGTGAGTTCCAGGATAGCCAGGGCTACACTAGAGAAATTCCGTCTTAGAAAACAAACAAATACTCAAAACCAAAAAAAGATTTATAGATTTATTGGCAAGAATGTTTTATTTGCATACATGTATGTGTACCATGTGTGTGTGCTTGGTTCCTGGAGAGTACCAAAAAAAGCATCAAATACTCATTTGAGTGCTGGGAACTGAAGGAACTGAACCCAGTGTCTTTATTTTTTGTTTGTTTGTTTGTTTTGTTTTTTGAGGCAGGGTTTCTCTGTGTAGCCCTGGCTGTCCTGGAACTCACTCTGTAGACCAGGCTGGCCTTGAACTCAGAAATCTGCCTGCCTCTCCCAGTGTCTTTATAAGAGCACCAAGTGTTCTTAATATCTGAGCTGTCACTGCAGCCACAAGATTTTTTTATAGAGTTTAATTTTGTAGCAGTTTAGTTTTTATTGTACAGAAGAATGGCTTTCACAATGACATTTTCGTACCTGTAGATAGCGAATTGCAAGTCTCTTTGTTTTGTTTTATTTAAGATAAGGTCTCACTGCTGGCCTTGAATTTATGTAGATCTGTCCTTGCCACCCTAGTGCTAGGATTAGAGGTTTACACTATCATGTAAATGTATATTCAAACATTTTAAATAATAGATTCTTTTTTTACAAATGGAGAAACAAGTATTGGGTTTTGAGTTTCATTTAGTATGGCTTAGCATGTCGAAGGATAATCTTGATGGAGGGCAGTGGGAGAAACACTGAATAATCAGCAGCTCACACAGCTCAGACATTTGTAGCATATTTTGGTTTGCAAATATTACAGTATCAACTCTTTATCTTTTATTTTTGGTTTTGTATTCATTATTCTTTAGGAGAAAGAAAAAAAAAATGAACCCAAAGAAAAATACCAGAAAAGATATGATTTGGACAAAGAAGAAAAAGCCAGAAAAGAGCCAAAGGGATTAAAATGTAAGTATAAAAATTAAAATAGTTCCATGTTCATTGCCATTGTTAAAAAAATTAATCGATTTTTATTCATATTATGTATACACCTGGATATATATGCATGCCTATGTATGCCTGATTTGTTATAAAGGTTGAATGTCTTTTCTGAAATATTTAGGACCAAAAATGTTTCTGATTCCTCTTCCTGGTTCAATCATATTTATATGTACATATAATGAGATTTCTTAGGAATGGGCCCAAGTTTAAATCCAAATTTTGTTTTATGTGTACATTATATGCAATCTTTAATATAACGTTTTTAGTGTTCTAGTGTTTTTGTGTCTTGTTAAGTGACATTAAGAGTAAAATTTTCTACTTATAGCCTCATACTGGTTCAAGTTTAATTTTGGGACATTTCAGAGTTCTCTTGTGTTGTGGTGCACATGTGTGGTATATGCAGGTGTGTCTGTGTGCATTTGCCCAGTGCACTCAGAAGGCCTGAGGAGGACATGGGATTCACTGCTGTTACTCTCCACCTTATCCACTGCATCTGAAGGTGTGCTGGCAGTTAGCAAGCCCAAGCAGTCCACTTGTCCACGCCCCACATAGTTCTAGAGTTTTAGGTACAGCTTTTTATATTTGGGGGATTTGAACTCAGGTCTCATGATTGCACAAGCCTTCTTACACGTTATGCCATTTCTTCAGCTTTCCTGACTTCAGGTGTTTTTTGTTTGTTTTTGTTTTTTCAAGGCTAGCCTCAAACTCCCAGAGCCCCACCTGCCTGCCTCTGCATCTGGGATTAAAGAGGTGCACTACCATACCTAGCCAGCTGTACACATTATTAATACTTCTTTTTCTCACCATGTTGGAGGTGGAACTCAAGGTCTTATTCATGCTAAGCGAATGCTTAGCTGCATCTTCAGTTGTAAAAGTAGATTTTATTTTAGTTCTAAACTCAGACATGGCAGTAGTAATGCCTGTCTCAATGGCTCATACATAAAGTACTATAAGAACTGCATCTATTTGAACAATACAAAAAGTACTTACTACATTTCAGAGATTTGTTGGAGATTCAAATTACTATCAAATTAAAATATAGGCAAGATGTTGAGAGTGAACAGTGCTGATTCTGAACTACTCTTCTGTGATTGTGACAAAGGACTACTGAAGAGGAGTCTCAGTGATCCTTGTCACACCTTACCTTAGAAAGACACACTAGAGCTTGTGCAGAAGTTGTTTCTGGTGCTGAATGGGGAAAAGAGCATGGTGTAAGAGCACTGCCCGTGTACCTGAGAAAGCTGCAAAATTCCACCAGTTTTTTAACTGTGAATGGAGTGCAAGAAAAACTAAGTATATAGATTAATAATAGCATGTGTGCTTACCATATTAGGTCCTACCTAGGTTCTATTTTGAGCACAAAAAAGCTGGAGTGAGGGAGTAGGAAAACGATGTAAAGTACTAGAGAATTTGGAAGAACTTTTGTAAGTGCTAGTTACATAGGTTTTTACTAGCAGGGATATTGGAAACCAGTACTCTACATGCATGAAATAAATAGTACTTCCATTGAAAAAAAACATGTTCTTGAAATTGGCATACAGGATGAGGGATCTAGTCTGGTAGAGTGTGTCCAGCATACACAAGGAAATCAATTGCCCCATCCCCCAAAAATACAGGAAGGAAGGAAGGAAGGAAGGAAGGAAGGAAGGAAGGAAGGGAGGGAGGGAGGGAGGGAGGGAGGGAGGGAGGAAAAGTTACTCAAGTAGATGTGAATACTTCTTTGTCACAGCTTTCTGGATACTGAGCAGCCAAAAAGACTAGTTAAAATGACTTTGTGACTTCGATAGTAAATCTTAAATTACTTCATAACCAAGGTAAGTATTATTAAAACTACAAAAACCATACTTATTCAATATGAGTACAGATTTTCTTTGGATTGTAAAATAAATTTGAAACTTATAGTTAACCATTGACTTTAATTTTTTACACTAGCATTTAAGGAAATCAGAAATGCATTTGATTTATTTAAGAAAACAACAGAAGAAAAAAATGATGTTCTTGAGAATAATTCAAAAAGAGAAGAAATATCACTGGATTATAAAGTTACAGATGATAACAAAACCAAGGACAAGTGTTCACTTAAAGAAAAAAGAAATACTCGAGATGAGACTGACACTTGGGCATACATTGCTGCAGAAGGGGATCAGGAAGTTTCAGACAGTGTGTGCCAAACAGATGAGAGTTCTGGTAAGTTTGCTTGGCATTGTTCACATACAGAATGCCCCATATTTTCTACTTTTCTCTCAGAATATAGTAAAGATTTTATTTGGACCTCCTGAGTAACTTTTACCATTGAAGACTCAAGTCATTCTTTGACATTTAAATGCATCAAATATTTTCTAAGTTCTTAAAATATACTTATAAAGATTTCTATTTTTTTCTTTTTTTTTTTAATTCAACAAAATTTTATTTCCTCAAAGTACAGCTGTTTGAACCTGTTCATATGTCTTCACCAGCAGCTGGGGTGTCTCCACCCTTTATGTTTCTGGTGTAAATCACTTGGACTCTGTGCTTTGAAACCAGCTTGATAAGTCCTTTACTAAGTAGCTCCTGAAGGGCTGCCCTGGCCAAGTTACCTCGAATCTTCAGTTCCTCAGAGACCACAGCTGGAGTAATAAGCTTACAGCTGGGAACTTCCTTACAGAGTTTGTCGTGTGTAGCTTTGTCAAACAGGATGAGATTGTTCAGCTTGTCCCGAACTTTGCCTTTGGATCACTTCTTTTTGGCCTTGCCACCAGGTTTATTTACTGGGTCTTTGTCTTTTTTTGGCCACCTTTCCGGCCTCTTTCTTCTTGTTGTCTTTGGGCAGCATGGCGAAACTCAGAGAGTAGTATGGTCCACTGCTGCCTCACTAAAATTTTCTATTTTCCAGCTTAACTTTTTTGGGTTTGTTTGTTTGTTTTTGTTTTTCAAGACAAAACTTTCCCTGTAGCCTTGTCTGTGCTGGAACTCACTCTGTAGTCTAGGCTAGCCTCAATCTCCTCGATCTGCCTGTGTCTGCGTCCTGAGTGCTGGGATTAAAGGCATGTGCCACCACCACCCAGCTCAGTTCAGTCTTTTATCTTGTGCTTTCATTCCAAAATAATCGTATAAAAACTGTACATGGTGAGTGAAACCAGCTCTCAGTAGGTAGTGGCAAGAGACTTCAAGGTCATCCTCAGCTACACAGGGAGATCAAGATCCTCCTAGCCAATTCTTGGTACAGTAGATGTGTACCATCACTCCTTGCTATATATTTTTAACTTTACAGAAAATAGGAGATATAAATGAGACTATATTGTAAAATGTACCTGGGAACATTTTAAGACGGGAAAGATCTTGTATAGAATACAAAATACAAAAGCTATGGGAAGAAGGAATTTAAAGGTGTACATGTATATACGTATAAATGAGGTAGCTTGATCTTGTGTGAAATTATTTAATCCGTGACTCTCAAGAAATAGTTTAAAATGTTTTTCTATAAGTACATATTTTTTTTATTTTGTTGAGACAGAGTCTCACTGCATAGCCAGCCCTTATTTGTCTGGAAATACTGTGTAGATGAGGCTGGACCTCCAGCTTACAGAAATCCTCCTGTCTCTGCCTCCCAAGTTGATTTATTTGTAAGAGTGTTATACTTGTCTCTTCTCTCTCTCCTCTTGTGTTTTGTGTATTTTCTGTGTGTGTGTGTGTGTGTGTGTATATATATATATATGTGTGTGTGTGTGTGTGTGTGTGTGCGCGCACACACGTGCACTTTGAATGCCTGATGCTTAGGGAAGTCAGAAGAGGGCATTGGATCCCTGGAACTAGAGTTATTGATGGTAGTGAGCCACCATGTGGGTGCTGAAAACTGAACCCTGATCCTATACCTCTTGTAAGAGCAGCAAGTACTCTTAATCATTGAGCCATCTCTCCAGTCCCATATTAAGATTTTTTTTTAAATTCCGAATGTATAACACACTAGAGGTTCTTTAAAAAAAAAAAAAAAACCCTCATCTCCAGATCTGGTTTTGCATAATAGACTTTTGTGAAAGGATTGTTTTTGTCTTGAGATAGGGTCTTGTGTAACCCAGGCTTCGTTCAGATTCCTAAGCCTACCACAGCCTTCCAATTGTCTCACCATTCCTGTAACTTCCAAGCAACATGTAATACTTAAAAGATTGCTAAAAATATTTAAGACAATGTAAGATCTGTATGGGGAAAATTGTAAAACATTTTTGGAGTAACGAAACATTTGATACCTAGCTTATGTGAAGCTTATGTTTGATACTCAGCACTGTAAAGAACCTATTAAAATGTCTGATTGCTATTTTTATTAATAGAAAAATGTTTTACACATTTGTCATTTACTTCAAACTGATGATAGGTTGCATCCAGTTAGAATAAAACCATCTAGCATTGGTTAGCAATCTAGCTCAGTGATTTAGTGCAGAGCTCTAGTTTCCTTTTTCAACATTGTAAAAACAAACTCATTTCCCATATAATTTACAAATACTAACTCCAAGATTTATGTGAAGATTTCAGAAGCTAAATCCAATTATGTCAGTAGTAATCAAAGTCTACTATATACACTGTAGCAGTTGAGCTGGAGAGATGGCTGCCCCTCCATGGAGCCAGGTCCAGTACCCACTTGGTTCTCATAACCTTCAATAACTCCAGTTCCATGGGTTCTTAGACCTGGCCTCCAAGGGTAATGCTTCATTTGTCATAGACATACATGCAAGCAAAACACATCTTTTTTTTTTTTTTTAATTTAAGAAACCTCTATTTACCTGGCATTAGGAAGATTATATTATTACATTATATTATATTAATTAGTACAACAGTCTTCTGTCAGACCCATGCATAGCTGTGAGATGGAGAAAAGTAGCAGATGTCACAGACATGCTTTTAGAACTAACAAGTTCTTGGTTACTATTTCAGGATAATAGATTATCCACAAACTCCGTACATGGAAAACTAATCCTTAATAGAATAGGGATATTTAGGTGCTAGTAATGATAAAACTGAGGCTTCTGACCTTGGGGTAGGAAAAGACTGTAAATGTGTGAAACACCATGCACACCCAGTCATGTACATGAGCCAGGGGACAACTTCTAGGAGTGGTGCTTCTCTTTCCACCATTTAATTGGGGACAACTCAGGTGGTCAGTGAGCCATCTTGCTACCTCAAAAGATTTGTTTTTAAAAAAGTATTTTATGTATATGGGTGTTTTGTCTTGTATGTCTGTGCATCATGTGTGTGACTAGAGTTCCTGGCAGTTCATGTGGGTGCTGGGACTTGAACCCTGATTCTCTGAAGGATAGCTAATACTTTGAACTGATGAGCCATCTCTACAATTCCCAACCATTTTTTAATACAAAAGTAAAAGAGATGCCAACGCAATGAATGACTCAGCAAGTAAAACTGCTTGTCACTGTAAGGACCCACGAAAAGGACCCCCAACTCAAGTCCCGATAAGCGCACACCCAAGGAGACACGAGAGACTGACTTGATGCAAAATAGCAAAAGGCAGTTTACTAACAAGGGCCCTTGGATCGAAACTCATCCCACACAGGGGAGAGAATTTCGATGAAGACCCCAGGAAGTTTAGAACTTTTATAGGGGGAGGCACAAGGGGGGAAGGGAAAAGCGGGAAATTCTGGCGAGGTTACATATAATTGGATATTTCAAACATCAGCACTTTGCGTAAGCAATCATTTTGACAGGCTGGATGGCCCACTATTTTTGACCATGAAACCTCAGACCTTCTAGGATAAACACCAGGTGGTCCATTACTCACTTGGGCATGTTTAGACTGGTCAAGATATGTCTTTGGTTGTTTCTACATTTCTGGTCACCTCGTCCCTAGAGGGGCTTGATATTTTTATTATGGCTATTCTCAGCAAGCTCAGAAAGCCGTCCTGCGGTCTTTGCCAAGTTGTTTTTTTTTTTTTTTTTTGCATTGTTGTTTTTTTTTTTTTTTTGGTTTTTTTCGAGACAGGGTTTCTCTTTATAGTCCGGGCTGTCCTGGAACTCACTCTGTAGACCAGGCTGGCCTCGAACTCAGAAATCCGCCTGCCTCTGCCTCCCGAGTGCTGGGATTAAAGGCGTGCGCCACCACCGCCCGGCTGCCAAGTTGTTTTTAATTTTTACTCTTACATCACCAACTGATGACCTGAGTTGGTGCCCAGGGCCTACATTATGAAGAACACAGGATGTCTGTTGACTTCTACATTGTGCTTTGCCATGTGTCCACCACTCACCCCCTCCACCCTGAAAAGTATGGAAACAGTTACAAGGGTAATGTTTGAGTCTATTACAGTCATCACAGCTGTCATTTAATAGGGTCGAAACTCAGAAACAGGCAAAACTTCAGTTTTAAGGGTAAAGATTGTCAGCAACTAATTTTACAAAGGGTGTGATTTACCCAGACTCTCGTGATGTAGAGAGCAGCCAGAGGTAGTCACAAGCATGCAGTAACATTTGGATTCAGTGTGCATTCGTTCTTTAGTATATACCTCAGTTTTTTCTTTTTATTAAAAATGGAGAAAGTGAATTTTGTCATTAAGTCTAGAGGTAGCATTGAGCAAGGGGTAGAAATGAACAGTGCTGGGATGAACTGAGCCACAATGGAAGCTAAGCTACCATTCTAGCCAAGCTGTCATAATTATAGTGAGCTCTGCTGGGATGGACCTTCGTCTATCCTGTTCCAGTTTCTCTCAGTGAAGTGACTGACATTCCTTCCTCTGTGGCCAGGGTCGAGAATAAGGAATTCCATTGTGAACCGAGACCTGGCTGTGTACCGAGATTAGGCCTCGCTCTCACTTTGTGCTATGTTTGATAATTCTCAGAGCTACTTTAAGTGTGTTCTAGCTGGGGCTTATTTAAAGGTTAGTGTGCGTCAAGTAAATTAATTGTATGAATACATTATAAAGGTTAGCTTCATAAATATTAGCTGCTTTGATTAGATCCACTGCTGTTTATTCATAATCATATGACCTGTTCCAAGCTGCACAGCTAAGATACAGAACCGGGGTTTGTAGCACCAAAGCTGTGCTATTTCTGTGATGACATGCTCTTGGGATTAGCAGAGAGTCAGTTTTAATCTAGAGGACTTCAGAAAAAATTACTTATTTGCACGGTTCTCCCAGATTTCCTATCCTTTGGTAGGTTATCTTCCTAACATGTATGTAGTTTAGAAATTGATTTTTAAGAAACATTCTATTCTTGCCATCAGATATTTCTGGTGTGGTTTTTTTATTATTGTAGTTTATTTGTTTTATTTTGCTTTTCCCTTGTTTTTTTTTGTTGTTTGTTTTTGTTTTGTCTTGTTTTCTTAAATACAAGGACTTACTATGTTACTCTGACTTGCTTAGAACTCATTGTGTAGGTTAGGTTTGCCTCAAATCTGTGACAATCCTTCTGGCTAGCTGGTTTTTGTTGTTGTTTGTTTCTTGAGGCTGTCTCACACTGAGTCCAGGTTAAGCTTGCTATAGATAAACCTATTGCCTCACCCTCTGAAGTGCTGGGATTCTAGGTATGAGCCACCAGTCCCTGCTCTGGTTTCATTTTATTTTATTAAAGTAACATGTAGACTATTTAAACTACCCTAACTGAACATGCATATCAAGTATGTGTTGCAGTGTAAGAAAGAACATGTGCATTTTAGTGTTCAGGAGCCTGAGGGCCATTAGTCATAGGAGTAGAATGTCCATAGACATGAGATGGGGCTTTGCTGCCCTGTTGGAGCATTTGGCTTCTATCAGTAAGGGAAATACCATAAACAGTGGTTTGTATTTGCATACAGACTAGTTTACACACAATGACTTAATGTTAATGGTTGTAAGCAATGAGTATCTAAAAAGAATAAGACAGGAAGACTTACTAGAGCCTTGGGGCCATAACTCAACTTTGGTAGAGTCCTTGCATAGCATGCTCAGAGTCCTGAGCTCCAGTTCCTTGTACCATATAATTGAATATGGAGGCATATATGTGAAATTCCAGCACTTAGGAGATGGAAACAGGAAGTTCCTAAGGTAAAAGTTACCCTTATATAAAACACTGCTCCCACCCAAATTTATAGTTTACAATTATAGTTTCCCTTTAATGTGTGGCTATTTATCATTTGCCCAAGAAATTTTAAATTTTAGCAGTGAAAGAAAAGATTCAGTTACCTACTAACTTGTGTGTTAAAAGTATACTTATCAATCTGGAGATTTCTTTAAAAATAACAAAAACAAACCAAAGTGAGCATATTATACCCAAAGAACTTTATATCTTTTTTTTCTAAAACTTTTTTTTTTTAGATTATTTATTTATTTATTATGAGTACACTGTAGCTGTCTCCAGACACCCATATGAGCGCATCAGATCTCATTGCAGATGGTTGTGAGCCACCATGTGGTTGCTGGGATTTGAACTCATGACCTCTAGAAGAACAGTCAGTGCTCTTAACTGCTGAGCCATCTCACCAGCCCAGAACTTTATATTTTACTTTGCACTTCTTTGTTCATCGCCTCTCAGCTCATAACAGCTAGGCAGTGGAATCAACCTGGATGTCCGTTAGCCGATAAAGGGATAATGAAAATGTGATACATTGACACAATGGAATGTTACTCAGCTGTAAAGGAAAATGAAATTTGCACGTAAATAAACTAGAAAATATACTAGATGAGGTCACACAGGCTCAAAAAGATAAAGGTCACACATTGTCTTTCATAATGAGAGTCCTAGCTTCAGATCTTGTGGGAGTTTATCACAGGGTACATCAGAAGCCAAGGGAATAGAAACAAGCCCTGTGTTGGGGGCTGCATTTAGGGAGGTTAGTGGAATATAAGTGACATGAAAGTGAAAGTGGGAAAACTGAAGGCAAGACAGTTGAAGTAGATACCTGAGGAACCAGGGGACGGCTCAAGGGAGCTGTTTGAGAGCTTGTAGCTCTGCAATTCAAATAGAAAATAAAAGAGGGCATAGTTCGATAGGTGTGGTATGAAAGAGCAGGGTAGGTAGTACTGTGAGCTAAGGTTTAAGCTGAGATGGGGGATGAGGGAGAAGGGGTTGGGTCGGTTAGCTAAAACAAGGAATGTGACTCCACCAGTGTGTAGTCTGATTTTTGTTTTAAAAAATAAAAAATTTAAAAAAAGAAATGAAGCTCAGCAGTGGTGCATACATCTTTACTCCCAGAACTTGGGAAGCAGAGGTAGGTGGATCTCTTGAGTTTGAGGCCAGCGTGGTCTACATCAAGTTCCAGGACAGCCAAGGCTACACAAACAAACCATGACTTACCCTTACCCCCCACCAAATAAAATTTAAATGCAGTATACATAAAAGTTTGTTTAAAATGTGACAAGTTAGCTGGGCGATGGTGGCACACACCTTTAATCCCAGCACTTGGGAGACAGAGGCAGGCGGATTTCTGAGTTCGAGGACAGCCAGGGCTACACAGAGAAACCCTGTCTTGAAAAACCAAAAAAAAAAAAAAGTGACAAGTTTAGCAATCTTATGGTATTGTGGGGTTTTGTTTATTTTTATAGAACTCCATAAGAGTGTATGTTAATGATGCCTTTGTGTGTTCCAGATGGCAGGCAACCAATTTTGAGTTTGGGTATGGACTTGCAGTTGGAATGGATGAAATTAGAAGATTTTCAAAAGCATCTTGATGGGGAAGATGAGCCCTTTATCGAAACAAATAGGATTCCAAGTAGTAAGTGATTTGCAGATTTATTTGCCTTTTCCACAAATCTAGATTTATAGAATCTAATGTAACTTTGTTTTCATTATAGATTTGTTGAGGGATGCTGTGAAAAATGGAGATTATATTGCTGTGAAGGTTGCACTGAACTCAAATGAAGAATACAACTTGGATCAAGAGGTACTGTGTTTTTTGGAGAAAAAAAAAATCTCACAAAGAATCATAGAAACTAGCTGTGACACAATATTCAGTTATTTTCCTAGAAAAGTAATGCATGTTCATGTTTAAAGTGTGCATTAAAATCCCAGCCCACCAAAATGACTGGTTTGGTATTATTTGCTTTTCTGTTGCTATAATAAAAAGCGAGTTAAAGAAGGAAGAGTTTATTTGGGCAAACAGTTCTAGTGGGATAAGAGTCTGTCATGGCAGGGAGTCTTAGCAGCAACAGGTATGATGGCAGGAGCAGGAAGCTGAGACTCATGTCCTTATACACAAAGGACAAAGCAGAGCCAGTACACTGGAACCAGAGCAAGGCTATAGAGATAGCTCAAATCTTATCCCCAGTGGCATACTCGCTCCAGCAAGGCTGTACCTACAAATCTTCCTAGAAAGTGTCACCAACTGGAAAACCAGTGTTTAAATACTTGAGTATGTGGGAGACACATACTCAAGTACTCTTTCTCACTCAGACATGTTGCAGTGGTAAGTAGTATAAAAGAATTTCTGTTTTTATGTGGCTATTATGTCTGTCTTTCTTTCTTTGTTTCTTTCTTTCTTTCTTTCTTTCTTTCTTTCTTTCTTTTTTTTTTTTTTTTTTTTGAGACAGGGTTTCTCTGTGTAGCCCTGGCTGTCCTGGAACTAAGTCTGTAGACCAGGCTGGCCTCAAACTCAGAAATCCACCTGCCTCTGCCTCCCAAGTGCTGGGATTAAAGTTGTGCGGCACCACTGCCTGGCTATGGCTAGAAATTTTGTTTTTTTTTAAATAATTTTTTTTTAATCTTTTTTTTTTTTTTTTTTTGGTGGTTGGTTATATGTTTTTTCTAATGTATTTTAATTTTTATTTTATGTGTATTGGTGTATTGCCTGGATATATGTCTATGTGAGAATTTCCAATTTTGAAGTTACAGACAGTTGTGAACTGCCATGTAGTTGCTGGGAATTGAACCCAGGTCCTCTGGAAAAGCAGCCAGTGCTCTTAACCACTAAGCCATCTCTGCAGACCAATGTATATTTTGATTGTAGCTCATATATAGCAACTGCCCAGCTTTTTATTGTCACTCAGGATTTTTCATACCAATGTGTGTGAAGATTTTGCTTTTGTTTTACATGGGAGTTTATTAGAGTCCTTTTCCTCTAGTTTTTAGGTGAAACAATGAATTTTTCTGAAAAAATTTTTTTCTTTTAAAATAGTCTCATTATATAACCCAGACTAGCCTTGACTTGTCGGTGATTTTATTACCTAAACTTCTCAAATAGACCTGACTCTAGTAATTTTTATGTTTATATAGGTATTTCTATTGATGCATTTTATGACTTTTAAGTGTCTCATCTTCTTTAGACTAGATGGTTTGTTTTGTTTTTCTTTTTTCTGTTTTTGTGCTTTAATGATATGTTTATAATCAAAAATCTTGTTTTAATCTTTTAATCTTTATTTGCTGGTGGGGAAAGTGTATGTGTAAGTTGCCTTGAGCAACTTAAATAATTGTTTTTTTTCTGAGCCAGGCTCCTGTAGACAAGCTGTGTGACCAAGGATGACCCTAACTCCTGAGTGTGAGTCACCACACTCACCTAGTCTAGTTCTTACTCTGATCATTCTAAATAGTGCTTTAGATTTGCCATTCATTTTATACCAAGAATGTTTGATATAGAATTTATTGCAGGGAATTTACTTAATTTTTGAAAGATTTATTTATGTATGCATTTTATGTACATAGGTGTTTTGTGTGCGTGTATGTCTAAAGAGCACCAGATCCCATGGGAATGCAGTTATAGATTGGTGTGGATTGCTATGTGGGGGTTGGGAATTGAACTTAAGACCTCTGTAAGCAGATGGTACACTTACCTGCTAAACCATCTCTCCAGCTCCTTTAATTTTTTTGCTTTAGATATTTAATTTTAATGTGTATGAGTGTCTGCCTAAGTGTATGTATATGCACCATGTGCTTGCCAGAGTCTACATAGAGATCAGAAGAGGAGTTAGATCCTCCAGAATTGGAGTTATAGCTAGTTGGTGAGCTGTCATCTGAGTGCTGGGAATTGAACTAGGTCCTCTGTACGAGCAACAAGTGCTTTGAACCACTGAGGCCACCCCCACACCACCCTCCCAGCCCAGTCTGGCTGAAAATTCAATGTTTATGTTAGTTATATTGGACACAAACTTGCAGAAAACCTTCTGTCCCTGCCTTCCAAGTGTGTGAGCCATCATACTTGCTTGCTTATACATGGACATTGTAAAATTTAATAGCAATATTTATTTTTTGAAACAGGATCTCACTGTGTATTCCTTACAGTCCTGGAATTCAGAGAGGTCCACTTGCCTCTGCCTTGAGTGTTGGCATTAACAATGTTCACCACCATGCCTGACAGCAACCTTTATATTTTTAAAATTTTAGGAGCTAGGGAGATGGCTTAGTGTATGGAAAGGCTTGCCATGAAATATGAGGACTGGAGTTTGAACCCACATAAGACAAGCATGGTAGCTACCATCTGTGATCCCAGTGCTACTAAGACAAAATAGTAAGTAGAGAAAGGAAAGATCCTGGAGACTTGTAGACTAGCTAGCCTGCTGTATGCAGTAGTGCAAAAGAGGTGACCTAGTCTTTAACAGGATTTGTCCTCTGATCTCCACCCATGCTCACTTGTTGTGTTATACACATCACATACACACAAATTTTTAAAATCCTAGATTGGGGATATGGCTCGGTCAGTAAAGTGCTTGCTATACAAGCATGAAGGACCTGGATTTGGATTCCTGGCACATACATAAAGAGCAGGGTCAGTAGCACATATCTGGGAGGCAGAGAAAGTAATTTATCCCTTGGGTTTGCAGGCCAGCCAGTTTAGTTGAATTTGATGAGGAACCTTGCAAATAAATAAATAAATAAATAAATAAATAAATAAAGTGGAGTGAGGCTGGAGCGATGGCTCAGTGGTTAAGGGTGTCCTTACAGAGGACTGCAGTGCAGTCCCCAGCATACAGAGGGCTCACAGTAGCCTATAAACTAGAGTTCCAGGGGATTGGATGTCTTCTGGATTTACATGCCTGTACCCCCACAGAAGTAATACATAGAAATAGGGTAGTGAACATCTCTGGCCTCTATATGCATTTCCCCCCATGAACACATACACACAAAATCCTAAAGGTTTTCTTTCTGATTACTTACAAGAGTATTTTAGTAAGCAACCTAACCTAAGTGGATGCATAAGTCACTGTTCTTTAGTGATTTCTTCTTGAAATAGCTTTACTAAAGAGATTTGCTTGTAAACGTTTCTGACTAAAGACTAACAGGGTTTCACTGTCACAGGATTCTACTGGGATGACACTGGTGATGTTGGCTGCAGCAGGCGGTCAGGATGACCTCCTCAGACTCCTTATCACCAAAGGTGCAAAAGTGAATGGGCGCCAGAAAAACGGGACTACAGCCCTCATTCACGCCGCTGAGAAGGTTTGAGACTTGAGTGCATGAAGGGAAACTGAGAATCTTTTTTTGTAGTGAAATATGGTCATATGTCATGTAGCCTTACTTTGTAGTTTCAGTGGGTCTGTGACATGAATTTTTGCTATTAGCAGTACTCTGTAATCAGATTTAAAGTGTGACTTATCTAATCAGCAGTTTATAGTGAGTACAACCTCTAGTTACACTGCCAGTATTATTTCATAAATAATATTCATAAATAATATTTCATAAATAAATGGTTTAGAGGACTCACAGGTAGAGTTTCTCACATGGAAGCTACAGCGTAGGCTGTAAGTGGCAATTACTAACAAATTAGTGAGGGACTAGACGTGTAGGCTTCTGTGGCCCTCCAGTGAAAAATCAGTGAGACGGATGTCCAGTCACCTGCATGGAACAGAATCTACTGAGTTGCTGGGCGGTAGTGGCGCACGCCTTTAATCCCAGCACTTGGGAGGCAGAGGCAGACGGATTTCTGAGTTCGAGAGTTCAAGGCTAGCCTGGTCTACAGAGTGAGCTCCAGGACAGCCAGGGCTACACAGAGAAACCCTGTCTCGAAAAACTAACCAAACAAACAAACAAAAAAAAGAATCTACTGAGTCTTTTTCCTGATTGCAAAACATCTAGAAGCTAGGTCTGTCTTTTAAGGAAATCTTGGGATTAAATTTGTTTGGTTTTTCTCCTCCATTAATTTATTCACTTTTGTTTCCTGTTTTTTAATAGAACTTTTTAACAACTGTAGCTATTCTTTTGGAAGCTGGAGCTTTTGTAAATGTCCAGCAAAGCAATGGTGAGACTGCACTCATGAAAGTAAGTCTTGAGTTTCATAGTGGGTAGGTATGTTGGTGCTGCAGACTGGGAAAGGCATAGGGACAAGGCCATCCCTAGAAGTCAGAAGCTCCTGTAGAATAGAAGTGGGTCAGCAAAGCAGGCGAGTTTGGTAGGTCAGTGATGTACTGGGACAAGCTCAGTCTAAGGGACCCAGCAAGAGTCGTGGGGGATGGGGGTTGTAGGTACTGAGTGAGCAGGAGTTGAGGGAGATGCAAAGGGACTGCAAGTGTTTCAATGAGTGATAACTCCATGCTAGAAGTAGAAGGTGCTGGAAAGAGGCAGACAGATTCAAGATTGCACAAAGTGTAGTTTACAGGTGTCTTGGGTAGTTTCTAGCCAAGTGGATGTTTATTCCTCAAGGCAGAAGGAAGAGTTTGTCTGCTAAGCTAGACAGAGAAAGGTTTTTCCTGGTATCAATGACTATGTCCAGTGCCAGTTAAGAAATTGACATCAGAGGTCCATACACATTAGCTGAATGCCTTACTGACTCTGTCCAGCATGAGTCAGGTCATGTGCCAAACGTGCAGTGACAGTACCACCAGGATCACTGCAGTCACATGAATGGGTGCCCAGCATCCATCCTCATAGGCTTAGACGCCTGAGAGCAGGGAAGGAGTATGTGCTCTCACTATGTTGTATCTTGTGAATCTATCTCCTGTGGAATTGTGGTTTATAGGTATGTTTTGAGTTCAAGGTTTTTGAGTTTCTGCTGTTCCCAGCCACCCTGCTTATATCTCTCTTTGAGTGGTAGGTTGCAAGTACCTCACTAGCCTCAGCCCAGAGTGGCTCACTCCTCTGCAGGAGTTCTAGGTTTCTGGTTCATAGTGCTGCTAGGACTCAGCAGATCCAGTTTTCCATAGCTGGTTCTGTCTTCTTACTTCTTCCCTGAGGTACAGCTTTGCTTAAGTTTGATCTAAGCAGGGATTTTTCTGCAATGCCAAGGCTATCCTGTCAGATGTGAGCAGTGTATTGATTGCAGTACAACCCCAGGCTTGTCCCGAACCTTGTGTTCTATAACCTACATCTTTCTCCTGGGCCCTAAGGTCTAAGCCTTGATCATTGCTTTGTGATTCCTCCCTATGACTGATTTGGGTTTGCGGAAACAGTCTTTTATTGAGGAGTCTAAGCTTCCATGTGTATGTAGTTTTTTTTGTGTGTGTTTGCCTGTTACTATGTAAGTACACCAAAGGTGGCACTCAGTAATGTCTTACTGGGAAGTGTCTTACTGAGCAGACACTTAGACCTCAGTAGAAGAAAGCACAGGAACAGAGACGGGTCTGGGTATGCTATCATTTTGTACAGGACCATCCAGAATTGTGAGTATTCTAAGATCACTTGGGAGAAGTTCCCAGATTAAAGAGTAGGTTTGTTCTAATCCTCCTTAGTTGAGTAGGGAGTGCATTCAGGGTAAGGCAAGCAGTTTGCAGACCTGGAAGGAGGTTCCTGAAGTAAGTTAAGTACTATTAGTCTGAACCTAAATAGTGACAGGGATCAAGTGATCAGTTCTCCAACATGTAGGGGTCAAATTCACAGAACACGGTAACAGGTGATAGCTGATTTTCCTGATTTAGGGAGCTCTGGCAGCCAAAGGCAAGTAGGAACTGGGCATCAGCTTTGAGAAGGCACCATTGAAAGGTAAAAGGCTGCTGGAAAAATGAAGGTTTATGACCTGGTGTCACAGCAAGTGCCCTGGGCACTTAGCTGTTCCTCACAGCAGACTCTAGTTTATGTCTTCACTGTTGTCCTGTTTCTAATGCTTGCTAATACCTGTCCCCAGGTTTCTTCCCTTTCCTTTATGAGGTTTTGTCCTCTTCAAAAAGACCTGCCAGACACATGTGGAGAAACTTAAGTGACTATGGTTTACAATGCCACTCCTCTTTCCTGACCTAGGCATGCAAAAGAGGAAATTCGGACATTGTCCGCCTTGTGATTGAATGTGGAGCTGACTGCAACATTTTGTCAAAGCACCAAAATAGTGCATTGTACTTTGCAAAACAGTGTAATAATGTGCTTGTATATGAACTCCTGAAGAGCCACTTGGAAACGTAAGTGTCAGGTGAACATACTATGGTTAAGTCAGAGTGGGAAAAATTTATTGAAGACATCATATTTGGAATGGTTTGTATAGTAGGAAAATGTTGAGAAAGGATTATCCTGTAGGGTTTCTCTCTTCAGTAGATGATGAATTTAGTAAGTGGCATATTTATTACTTCCTTACAAGTTACCCAAATCTTAGAAAGCCCTGGGAACATTTCCTTCAAACGTTAAGTCTGGGACTGGAGATGTAGCTCAGTTGGTAAAAAGCTTACCTCATGTGCACTGAGCCCTGGCGTCATCCTCAGCAGCTCTTCAAACCAAGCCTATAATAGCAGTACTTAGGAGCTCCTGTTAGGGTAAAAAGACAGTCTAGAAGTTAGGGTAGAACTGGAGCAGATCTAGAACTTGGATATATAGCTACTTCATGGCCAGCCTAGACTAATATAAGACTCAAAGTTAACATCTACTCTTAATTTGGTAAAATTGTGTGTCCGTGCATGCACGCCTGTGTCAGCCAGAGATTGACATGTCTTCCTCTTTTATTCTCTATTCGTGTCTTTTTCAAGCGAATTCTGAACTGTGTATTTTGTTATGAGTTTATATCTTTATCACTGAAGAATTCCTTTGATGGGCTAGGGTGTGGTTCTGTGATAGAGCTTCTGCCTCGCATGTGCTAAAGTCTGCGGTTCCATCCTGAGTCCCATATAAAACAAAATTTTAGCAACATCTGCCAAAAGCACTGAGTCCCTATTTACCCAGGTAACTTTATGAGACAGCCTGGGAGAAACAGCCCCTGGCCTTAGCTTGTAAACTAGACACCGTGTTTAGGCAGAGGGCGTATTCTAAACAAAGTAAGTTTTAGGCAAGGAACCATGTTGTATCTTACTTGCTGTGTCTACTGGAAAGCCTGTCTTGGGCATTTCCCATAAAGAATTCCTAGAAGCTAGTTCTTCCCATTCTCTCAGAACAGAGGGGTCACTACAGAGGACCTGTCAGTGAGGTGGCCAGCCATTTTCCTTTGCTCAGGACTGAGGAGCTCTCATTTCTAATTTTTCATTCATGCATTAGACCACTGCTAAGTAAATTTTTGTGCCAGACACATGCAACATGGTTCCTTACATAAAACAGAAAAAGTTGCCCTTGTGCAACACCTGTTCCAGTAAGAAGAGATGGATGAGAGAAATTTAAAGGCCACTATCATGAGAGGAAAGCCAAGTGAGGTCAGAGTTGTGTCGGTCCTTTCCACAAAGGTGGTTCGAGGTCAGACACAACTGCAGCTACAGATACAGCATACAGATTGTAAATTCAAGCCCTACTTGGGCTACAGAATGAGTTAAAGGCCAGCCTAGGCAATATAGTGAAATCCTGTATCCACATAAAAAATGAAGAGAGGTGGTTAAGAGGGGACCAAGGTTTAACACCATGTGAACAATGAACATGGTCTCATTCACATCTGTAACCACAGTACAGTGAGATATTTGAGATAGGAACTTGCTGGGGGTTTCGGGTGTCGACCTAACTGGATAGAGAATCCCAGATTCAGGGAGAGAACTGCTCCAGAGAACTAGGGCAAAGAGTGCTGTCCTCTGGCTTCCACAAGGCCACACAGGGGCCAGATACAAAGCACACTTGGAAAAGCAGTCTCTACAGGGGAAGACCAGGCTCAGGTTAGAGCTCAGTGGTAGGGCACTTGTTTAGCCATGTGCAAGGGCCTAGGTACTGCAAAAGTAGAAAGTATCACTGGGCAGTGGTGGAAAATTCTTCTAATCCCAGCATTCAGGAGGCAGAGACAGGCAGATGTCTTTGAGTTTGAGGCAAGCCTGGTGTACAGAGTGAGTTCCAGGACAGCCAGTTACACAGAGAAATCCTGTGTTCAAAAACAAGTTAGAACACAGAAAAGTTAGTGGGCAGGCTTTTATGGGCATTGTACAGGATAAGTACATCTTTTGATGGTTTCCTTTTGCAGAGGGGTAAAGGGAAGGCAGACTCTCATGTCTTCCAGTCTAGCTTCAAACTCACTGTTACCTGAGGCTGGCCTTGAACTTCCTTCTAAGTACCAGGATTATAGATGCATGCCATCACATGTGAACTTATGTGATCAAATCCTGGGCTTCATGCATGCTAGTCAACCAAACTACACCTCCAACCCCTAAAGTGTATACTTTAAATTTTGATTGTACAGTGAGATATAGTGTCATAATGACACAGTACAAATATATAATAATCAAATCAGGGTAACTGAAGTTTTTTAATTTGTTAACAAGAACAATAATTACAGTTACTTATGTGGCATAGTGTAATATTTTAGAACATCTACATAAAAGTCTTAAAGATAGGGTCTCATTCTAGCCATCCTGGCCTCAAACATGGTAATCCTACAGTAGCATTCTTGAGTTCTGAGGCATGCGTCACCACACCACCTAACATTAACAGTCTCCCTGTGTTCTGTTAACTAGACTTTCAAGAGTCGCAGAAGAAACAATCAGGGATTACTTTGAATCTCGCCTTGCTCTACTGGAACCTGTTTTCCCAATAGCATGCCATCGGCTCTGTGAGGGGCCAGATTTCTCAACAGATTTCAATTATACGCCCCCTCAGAACATGCCTGAAGGTATGCAAGCATATGTCCCATTCAGACTTAAGTGTTTGTAGCTATCGTTTGTAAGGATGGGTTTGTTCCTAAGTGAATCCTCTACTTTGAAGGAACTCTTCAGCAAACACCATGTGTGATAGTTGGCAGAGCTGCCCTAGCAGGCAGCCTTCCCATCCCCTTACCTGCCACGGTAATTATAGAAAACCAGTATTTACAATGCAGAGAATTGTTTGCTGAGTTTTATTAAAAGGCTCATGACTCTTAGCCTAGAATCATTCCTTTTTCTCCCAAATTTTATCATAGCCACTAGTTTCTCTATTTTGTTGCTTTTTGAAACAAGAGTCTCACTCTGTAGCCCAGGCTGTCCTGGAACTTGCTGAGTACATTAAACTGGTCTTGAACGCTAAGATCCCCCTGCCTCACCCTCCTGTATGTTGGGATTAAAAATGTGCTCTACCACCAGGCAGTGGTGGTACACACACGCCTTTAATCCCAGCACTTGGGAGACAGAGGCAGACGGATTTCTGAGTTGGAGGACAGCCAGGGCTACAGAGAAACCCTGTCTCGAAAAACAAAACAAAAAACAGTAACAAAAAAATGTGCTCTACCATGACTGGTTTGAGGCTTGGTTTTTTTGTTTTGTTTTGTTTTTTTAAATAGTCTTGGTCCTATACTCCTGTCGCAGCCTTCTGAGAGCTGCCTGGTTTAACTTTTCAAGAAAACCTGAGAGGGGGCAACAGGTGCTGTCCTACCTCCCATTAGATTTATGTGACAGAGATATATGCAGTTACTGGTGCTGGGTGGGGGAGGAGGGTCATACCTAGTAAGTTGTTCTTGCTTCAGTGACTAACCTAACTGTCCTTGTGCAAGCAACCTTATAACTGGAGTGGGCCATCAAAACAAAGCAGGAAAGGGGCCTACTGGTAAGAAGTGGTTCAGTTTGAGGTGGGGAGTGTTGGATGAGAGTAATGGATGGGATATGGCCAGAGTATAAATTTTGAAGTTATAAAAGAATAAGTTCAGTCACCAGAGCCCACAGGGTAGAAGAGAGCCTACTCCCGAGGGCTGTGCAGTCCTCATGTGTGTACCATGCACATCCAAGGGAGGGCAGACCATTCTCTCTCCCTACAATGTTAACATAACTCAGTGTAAGCCTTCTGCTATCAAGCCGGATAACCTGATCTTGATCCCTAAAACTCACATGGTGGAGAGAACCAACTCCCTAAAATAGGCCTCTGGCTTCCATACACAATGTGTTATGTGGGTGCACGCACACAGAATAAATCAGGTGTTTTTTTTAAAGCCTTGTTGTAAGCTACATCATAATGTGGTATTTGTGAGTGGATTATTGCTACAGGCACACATTTGAAAACTTCTAGGAACTAGAAACAAGACACAGATGTTTATTTGTACATATAATAAATGCCAAATATAAAGACAAAACAATGTGTTAATGTGTATAAGTCAGGTGCTCTTAGAACATCTTCATCAAATTACACTTATTTGTAAAGAACGGTTCAGCTTTCAGCATCCACTTAACTGCTTGTAACTCCAGTTCCAGAGTTCTAATTAAATGCCCTGTAATGGTCAGGCACACATACATGTATGCAGGCAAAACACTCGTACATAATAAACAGTAACCACCAGTTAACTTCAGTACCCACAAGTCTCTCTTGGGTTATTTGGACGAGATCTCTAATTTTGTGGTTTGGAGGATGAAGCCCAGGTGTTGAGTAGGACCTGCTCCCTGTCAGCAAAGATAACCCCAAGCCAGTGCTGTCATCAGTGTTAATCTTCTCTTTTCTCCCTTAGGCTCTGGTGTCCTCCTCTTTATTTTCCATGCAAACTTTTTGGGTAAAGACGTTATTGCTCGGCTTTGTGGACCATGCAGTGTACAAGCTGTGGTTTTAAATGATAAATTTCAACTTCCTGTTTTTCTGGTAAGATTGGCGGGGGGGGGGTTGTATTGAATGTAGTCCATGTATTTTTATTTCAGCCCTAGGTAGCCTATAGAACTCAGTGCAGACCTTGTAAGCCTTTACCTTGAATTAATCTTCACATCTCTGCTTCCCAAGTGCTGAGATGAGATCTTTTATTTTACCAAGACCCAAAACAAATAGTTCAGTGGGTAAGACCATTTTACAGGCAGGTGCCAGGTATTTTCACTGGTTGGCCACTCTCATCAGTCAGAGCCTTTAGAAGGTGGGCTGTCAAGTCAGGTGAAGGTGAGGCCTTTTTGGGCTACACGGGGAGATCCTGTCTCAACTATCTCAATTTTTTTGTTTTGTTTTTGTTTTTGTTTTTTGAGACAGGGTTTCTCTGTGTAGCCCTGGCTGTCCTGGAACTCACTCTGTAGACCAGGCAGTCCTCGAACTCAGAAATCTGCCTGCCTCTGCCTCTGCCTCTGCCTCTGCCTCCCAAGTGCTGGGACTAAAGGCGTGCGCCACCACTGCCCGGCTCTCAAAATGATGTCATAGCCCTGAGCTAACTCTGACTTGATCTCATCTCTCTTCCCTCTAGGACAGTCACTTTGTCTATTCATTCAGTCCTGTTGCTGGCCCCAATAAGTTGTTTATAAGGTTGACGGAAGCACCCTTTGCCAAGGTGAAAATCTTTGCTTCATATTTACACAGGAACTGCTCAGATAATTTTTAAAAATCCCCGTGTCACTGGACATGGTACAGACAAGTTCTTTCTGTATCTGTGTTAAGCAAATTGATGTGTCTGAATGTTGAACTTTGGCTCTCTGGGGCAGGTATGCATAGCATACTTAACTGAAGGTTAAGCCTGAGGGCATCTCTGAGTACTCAAATCTTGACAGTACTAAACTGCCACTAGGCTCATCAAGGCAGGATTTCTCTATATGAAAAAAAGAAGCTGGACTACTCAAATCACTCTAGTAATGGTTAGCTAATATACTGACTAGTAGGATTATATTTTTACTAAAAGGATTATATTTTTACTAAAAATAGTAATAACTTGGATGCTCTTACAGGGTGGGGTTTGTATGTACTGACATATTCATTTCTCTTGTTTAGGTTAAGTTGCTAATAGGTGCATACAGAGTACAGCTGCAGTGACCACAAAGGATTGAGAAGCAGCCTCTTTTCAGCTGGATTCCCAAGTACCATCTTTGTACCAGTTTCAAACATTCATCGTCTATAGTTTCCTGTCACCTGTAAACGTGCAATTTAAGCCTGTTGCCTGTGTAGGTTTGTCTACATACATGTATTTGTGCCATTGTTCGAAAACGTTCAATGTTCTGCATATATTTCCACAATGTGGAATGGTACATATAAGAAATATTTAAGGAAATTAAAAACTTTTGAAGTGAAATTTTCTACTACTGTTTGTGAGTTTGTATTTGAAAAGCAAAGCCAGATTCAGGCTGGCCACATGACTGAGTTCAACAGTAGCCATGACTACAACGGGAATCCTTTACAAATCAGATGTAAAACATTTACTATACAACTAAATTTGATGTTCTTAAAGGTGAAATGCAGCTGCAGGCTTTTCCTCCTGGCTGATTTGTTCCCAAAATAAAGGCTCTGAGAGTCTGGGAAACTTAAAATGACACTGAATTATAATTCTTATAAGCTTGCGCTTGTTCAGACCAGCTTGTAGCTTAACCAACCATTTATTCAGTTCTGTGAGTGCCACATGGCTAGGGGCAATTCTGTCCCCTCACCTGATTATCCCAGAGTTCTTCTTCCCTACCAGGGCTGCCACCCTCAGCTAACAGGCTGTCAGCTTTTTATTGACAAGTGAGGCTTCCATACAATACACAACAAATCCTCTACAGCAGAAATGTGTCCTGTGGCATACTCTAAGACTGCTGCTTTTGTGTCATTAGGAGTTTCTCCTCAAAGCATGCTGTAACCTGTAAGAGACAAAGCTGTCATCAGTAAATAGGAATGATACACATGCACACACACAGGCATTTTGTCCTTTTTCTATTTCCTTTTTCTTCTTTTTTTTTGTTTTTCAAGACAGGGTTTCTCTGTGTAGCCCAGACTGGCCTTGAACTCAGAAATCCGCCTGCCTCTGCCTCCCTAGTGCTGGGACTAAAGGCGTGCGCCACCACTGCCCGGCTGTCCTTTTTTATCATAGCCCTGCTGGCCTCAAATCCTGACTCAGGAGATTATAGGCATGTTCTACCATGCTTGAGTTACTGTGTCTCTCTGTACTTTTTAAGAGGTTTCAGCCCTAATCACCAAGTAAGAAGCCTTAAACAGTCGATACATTTTCCCTATTTAGGCATTGTCTAATTATATACAAAGAACCTTAAGATAATTTTTCTTTTCCTTTAAGCCCTGGCTATGTAACCAGACTGTCCTCAAATGCACAGAGAATCTAACTCTGCCAACAAGACCTACTTTTTCCTTAAACCAAGTTTTTGCCAAGTGTCCTAGGCTAGTTGGGAAATCCCATATAGCACAGGCTGGCCTTGAGTTCATAGAACTGCCAATGTATCGGCCCACTGAAGGCAGGGTTTATAAGAAATCACCACACACACTGAAATGGCAATTTTTTAAGTTTATAATGAAGGCAGATTCATGTCACTTTCGTTAGCAGTACATTTATCATCTTAGTAATTAAACTTGCCTTACATATCTTCCTGTGGTTAACCCATTTCCATGTTTCCACTTATTAGGAAAAAAAACCTGTATTATAAAGCAAGTGCTTTAATTAACTAATGGCAAGTGCACTTACTTTCACCCTCTCTGAATGCCCCATGGGCTAGGCAGTAGTGGCACATTTAATCCCAGCACTCGGGAGGCAGAGACTAGGAGACTTCTTTGACATCACAGCCAGTCTATAGAGCTGGTTCTAGGACAACCCGGCCTACACAAAGAAACCCTTTCTCAAACCGCCATACCCAGGGAGGAAAAAAAAATTAAGGCCACATGGTGCCACAGCTTTGATCCTGACATACACAGCCTATTACATAGATCTTATATGTTCAGATTACTACTTCAAATTTTACTTAATGAAGAATCTATACATACAGCTATTTGAAAATTTAATTCCAATGAGATAACCAGAGTGTATAAACTTACTCTAAACATATTTGAACAGTTGCTTAAACAATAATCGCCCAAAGGGCTTTAAAATTTTAAATGTAGGACCAGGCTAATTGGTTAAAGGCCAGGTAGCAGAGTATCAAACTGCAAGGTGTCCTCAGTAGAACTGCTAAGAATACACCAACAGATACCATAAAACAGTGTGCCCACCGGTCTTCCAGGGTCTCGTTAAAATGGAGGTTTGGAGTCATCAGATCCTGTGTCCTGCCTGTAGATGTGCATCTCAGGTCTCAGGCAGCACCATCATTGCTGGTCCACAGAACTGCACCTCAAGCATCCAGAAAACAAAACAGAAAATTTAGCAGCTAAAGCAGCATAGCCAAGCAGTGGGTGTTATCAGAAAAAATCCATTTGAAGAAACTATGAAGTTAAAGAGATATGTGTGAGAGATCCTAAGTGTGAGTGCTCTTGAAAGAAGACCCTTCCCTCCTCTATGCCTCACTAAACATTCATGACCCCTACCTACCCATGCACATCGATATGGAAACACAAGAGTGGACTTGATAATGACATGGACCTAGCAGTTCATCCCCAAGGTCAAGGATACAAATGACTTTGGAGTGGCAGTAGAGAAAGATGCTATCACAGTGAAAGCTTTCTAGGCAACCATTTTAAGTATTTAGAAGGTAAAGATGTTTTAGCCAAGGCAAGCCACATGGTGGACTACCCACCCAGCTTGGTGCATGAGTAACGAGGCAACCTATCAGGAGCTGAGGGCTACACTGAGAGCCTTCTGTGCTGAGCTGCATCATAGACAGCAACTTAGTATCTTCAACTGAAGAAGAAAACCCAGGTATGTACTGATTTCAAGACTGGCTCTCTTCTTTTGCTGTACACGTGCATGCCCCTTTTTCTCTTTCTCTCTCCCTCCCCTTACCCCCTCTCCTCTTAACTCATGGCAACTTCCCTGGCCTTCATCCTTGGGGGCCAGTGAACTCATCTACCCAAGAGCAGGTTACCAAGAATCTTGCATTTAAAAAAAAAAAAGGGAAAAAAACACCCATACTTTTTTTCCCTTTCTTTCTATATAGGGTCTCTCTATATTTAGTCCACTGTCTTGGAATAAAAACAACACAAAACAAAAAACCTCTTGAACACAGAGTTGTAAGGCTTCAGCTCAAACTCTAAAGTGTCTAACAACAAAACACCAGGGCTGGGAGTGTGGCACATTCCTTTAATCCCAGCACTGGGAAGCAGAAGTAAGGTGAACTAGGGGCTGGACTGATCTCAGAGTTTCAGACTACATAGAGAGCTACTGTTATAACAACTGAAAAAGAAAAACACTAGGATTCTGCCCAAGGTGTATAGTTCAGTGATTGGACATTTGCCTGTGCAAAGCCACAGAAGCACCAGACACAAAGGAAAGGATCTACGTGTCACACACCTGATACCCAGCACTCACTCATTGGCTGAGGCAAAGGGATTAAGAGATGAGGATGGCTCTGGTAAAAGACTGGCTGCTCTTCCAGAAAGCCCAGGTTTGATTCCCAGAACCCAGGTTGGATTCCCAGGGAATCCAAATGCCTTCTAGCATCTGGAGACACCAGGCACATGTGATCCATAGACATACATGCAAGCAAAACGATACTATACATAAAGATAGAGGGGAAAAGTCCATGAATAGTTGTGGCAACACAGTAGTTACACAGTTAATACTCTGTCCCAAACCAAACAATACCACTGGTGCTATTACCTATGGCAGCTGTAGTAAGCACAATCGGAACTGGAGAATTCAGAATTGTATGCAACTGCAGCTCCGTTTCTAACAGAGAAGAGACTCCAACTGACCTAATGCCGCAGTGTGAGCCCAGCGTGCCTGGCTTTTAAACGCTTCTGTATTAGACAGTGGCTTTAGCAGATTCACGTTGTCTTAACAACCTAGGGATAGAAAAATTTTAGACCTTTAAAACTCAGACACTGTAACTGGTCTCAAGTTCTCAACAGGAATCAACACTTAGTAAGATACAATTTTGTCTTATATGGCCTACTTTTTAAAGACTTTTTTTTTTTTTAATGAATGTGAGCACACTGTCTTTTCAGACACACCAGAAGAGGGCATTAGATCCCATTACGGATGGTTGCGAGCCACCATGTGGATGCTGAGAATTGAACTTAGGACCCCTGGAAGAGGCATCAGTGGGTGCTCATAACCAATGAGCCATCTCTTCAGCCCCCATGGCCTACTTTTATTTTGAAGAGTTATTTTTATTCTGAGGGTAATCTCAGATCCAAAATAGTCCCAATGTCATCTAAGAACACTGGCTGAATTGAGATTTACACTAATTTCATACCGTGGAATTATATACACCCTAAATTCTAAAAGATCTTCAAATCTGGCAGCTACTGAAAATTATTTACATTGTGTGTACATGAGGGAGGGTGTGACGTCATAGGACAGGCTCTGGGAAGACATTCTCTCCTACAGAGATCAAACTCAGGTGGGCTCATGCTTGGCAAGAGATGTTCTTATCACAGTGCCGTCTCAGCAGTAAGAAACACTTTCTAACTAAGTCTTTATCATAGTTCTTTTTCACCGATTACTGGTCCCTTAACACAGCTTTAAAACCGTCATGATAGGGGTTCATTTGTTAAGAGCAACAGAAGACAGGTCCAAATCTCAGCACCCATACAGTTGTTCACAAGTGACTGTAAACTCTAGTTCCAGGGGATCCAAATGCCTTCTGACTTCGATGGGTACTAGGCACACATATGTACCAACAGTACACGCAAACAGAACACCCAATTGTATTTTGTTTTTTTTCGAGACAGGGTTTCTCTGTGTAGCCCTGGCTGTCCTGGAACTCACTCTGTAGACCAGGCTAGCCTCGAACTCAGAAATCCGCCTGCCTCTGCCTCCCAAGTGCTGGGATTAAAGGCGTGCACCGCCACCACCTGGCTCCAATTGTATCTTTGAAAATGATAAAACATCACATAAAAATCTTTCTGCTATATCTACAAACACTTTCTCTACTTGTGCCAAGGCCACGTCCACTTATCGTGCTCCATCAAGAGGGATAATTGAGATGTTCCCCAGAGAGCACAAGTGACTTTTAAGTAAGACAAAGGTGTGAGATATTAGTGAAGCAGGATACAAAAGCAATGCAAAAAAACACAACTAGCAGGTGTAGCTTCAGGGTTTTTTTCCATTTTTTTGTGGGAGTGGGGATGGCAAGTGTTTGACACATGGTTTTTTCTGTATGGTCATGGCTATTCCAGAACTCACTCAGTAAATCAGTCTGGTCTTGAACTCAGGAAGTACATAATAACCACAAAATACTGGAACTCTACCTAAACGGTACAGAATAAAAATGTTGTTTAGGTCTTAAACCTGATATAAGAAACACTGCCCCAAACTATAATTTTGGATGGATTATTCATGCAAAAAAGGCTTACAAAATTCTGGATATGCACACTGGAGAGTCACAGGCCTACTAATGTACCTTAATGATTTAAAGAAACCGTAACAATTTATAGAAAGCATGGTTTTATGCACTATAAATCACATTTAAAAACTGTATTAACAAAGTATGGGGAAGGGGGAATCTCTATGAACACCAAAAGATTACACAAGGGCATTTTCATATACTCAGATACACAGTACCATGCATACTCATATGACTACGAGAATATTGAAGATACAATATTCCTAGGAAAAGAGGCACTCTCTACCAGGCCTTCTGAGTGGTAGAAAATGATAGGATGTTTCTACCATGTATCAGATATAACACCCATTACCTAAGATACTAAATCTATCCGAAGCTAAGGAAGGCCTAAGTAAAACATGATATATACATCTCAATACTATGGAGGCTGAGTTATTCATACTCAGACAAACAGTAAAAACTCAAGGGTATTTAAAGGGAAACATTGAAAAATTGCTGCTATAAAGTAACCTAAATAAATGGTGACATTTCCTGATATCTGCAGTTGTCTAGCCCAAAACAATGACATTCCACAGTTGCTCCCTACAAAACCGCAGGGATTCTTTCCCAAATAATGCACATTTCCAGGGGACTTTTTAGGAAATATACACACAAGAGAGACATAGAGACCAGTGTTCACAACCAACTATGTCCCTTCCCATTTGTAACAGACACAGTAAAGGCTAATAAAGCAGTAAGAGTGACCTAGGATATTTTCTAGGGGAAATTTACCTTTAATACTTTTAATTAAACTTTCATATGTACATCTGTTTTGTCTGCACATGTGTGCAATAGTTGGAAGGGAGGGAGTCGCTGAAAATCTCAGCCTTGCTCACCCTGTTTCTAGAGAATTCCCTCCTCTTTTTACGTCGTACTTTTGAGACATAGCATTATACAGCCCTAATCTAGAACACAGTATGTAGGCCAGGCCCTGCCCCTCCCCCAGGGGGCAGCAGACACCAGATGCAGGGCTGACCTACTAACCTGAGGGCCTCAAGTCTACTACTGAGCATCACATCCTTCTCCTTCTGGAAACTAAGTTGTTCAAGTTCCCCCTGAACTAGCTCAGGACTCGCAGGCCTCAAGCAGTGACCCTCCTGCCCGAGCTTCTGGAGCAACTAGGATGACAGGGATGTGCCACACTGCCCAGCTCCAGTGAGCATTACAAAACAAACATCCACCATCTCCAGTGTAGTTTCTTACGCATGTCAAAGTAAAAGGCTAGTCAACGGAAGTAGTAAGAGGCTCATCAAGGATGGGCTGGACCACAGTGATGTATTTTTAACCTGCTTTCTGAACCAGTGTCCCACTACACAAGCCACCAGGCCTGGGCTCAGGCTCCTCTCCAGCACGTCCACTGCGGGAGGAGACAAGCAGGCAGTAGCACACCAGGACAGGATGTTCACTTGTGGTTTGAGGATGATGAACTCAGATAACTGTACTGTTTTCTTTCAAAGTTCAATTTTCAGATAAATTGTTACCATCTACAAAAGGTCAGTTCCTTATTTAATATATAAACCACCTAATATAGACATGAAAAAGGGGCTGGAGAAATAACTCAGCAGTTAAAATCACTGGCTGCTCTTCCATGGCAGAAAGGTTCAATTCTCAGAACCCACATGGCAGTCCATAACTGGGAACCAACACATTTTTACAGACATACATGCAGGCAAAACAATAATACATACACACACACACACAATTAAAAGGCATGTGAGGCTAGAGAGATGGCTCAGTGGTCAAGAGCACTTGCTGATCTTACAGAGGACCTGGGTTCTGTTCCTAGCACCCACAGGAAGCTCTGGATCCAGGTATGAATCCTTCTGTCCTCCTTGGCAACAGATACGTATGACTGCACATACATACATGCAAAGAAAATTCATATACATAAAAGAAAAACATCTTTTTTCATTAAAAATGTTAAAGACACTAGCAAATATTGAATAATATTCAGGCTTTTCTCATCATTTATTTAAAACAGCACCTCTGCAGATAACATGAAAATCAAGCCTTGAGGAAAAGCGTTTTTCAGGTGTCATGTGCATTACAAACTGTCAAGTATAGCACTAGCGGAATCCATCATATGGACTGTTCATCTATCTGAGTAATAACACAGACTGTGCTGAGGTAGAATGCTCATCAGAAAGCAGGACCAACCAGCAAGTCCACCCTGGCGCGCACAACCCATCAGCATTCAGTGAACATTTTCAATACAGTCAAGTAGCTGCCATGGCTGGTTCTTCCCGGTAAACCCAGCCATAATTTCATAAGATCAACTGTGGATGTATGAACATGACTTACTTATCCAACTCCACAATCTTTGCCACTGTCAGTGGGCAGCTGGGCAGGGTACAAAAAGCTGCGGAGAAAGGGAGCTGCTGGGCCTCTGGACACAGAACGCAATCCTAGCTACCTGGGAGGCTGAAGCA